ATCACTGGCCTTAGGGAGTAAGGGTTATCATTGCTTAGGCCTCTTTTTTTTTTTTTTTTTTGGCCATTATTATGATTTCTGTCTTCATGGTTTCATTTTAATTTCCTGTTGGTTTAATTGGTGTGCTAGCTGCATGCACTTGCTGTTGTACTTGTGTCAAATGATTCTCTAACTTCCTTTGGAAAGCACTAATGAATAAGTGCTGTTTCTCTTCTCTATTGTTGGGTTTTTTGTAAAGTTGCTCAAATGCTCTCAGGTATGGCGGCTCTGAATGGAGGACTTGGCGCCACAGGCTTGACGAATGGCACGGCTGGCACCATGGACGCCCTCACCCAGGCCTACTCAGGAATCCAGCAGTATGCAGCGGCTGCGCTGCCCACGCTGTACAGCCAGAGCTTGCTGCAGCAGCAGAGCGCAGCGGGCAGCCAAAAGGAAGGTACGTGCTACCCGCAGCCCCAGCCCAACAGGCAGCACTGGCCTGTAGAGCACGTTTCAAAGGTACCAAATTGAACTGGTGTCATAGGAGAAATCAATTGTTCCATTTCTGGTGTTCACACTTAGGGGGAAAAAACCTGACAAGCCTAAACCACTTATTTCATTCTTTTCTGTTCAGTTTTATATTTATCTTTTGATTTAATTTTTCATCTCTCAAGATATTCTCATCCATTGTGCGTTTATGCGCAATTGCTTTTTAGTTGTAATATCAAAAAAAATGCCAGGAACCCCCCTCTCACAAGTGAGTGTGGGCCATAGTTTCCAACCTACACATCGACAACTCCTCGTTAGTGGAAGAGGGTGAAGGAGATGGATCAATACAGGCTTCTGTGGGTGAAGTGCTCTCTTCTGTATTTCTCAGGTTTTTCGGAGTCCACATACCCTGTGACGGTGTGGCTGCTTCTCAGTAGGCAATGGTTTTCAGGTTAATGATAAAATCCACAGTTAGGGTTGGATTGACTTGGTTTTGTTTAGTTGGGGGTCTTATGGGGAAGCAAGTAAGTGCTTCTCTACCAGTAAAGCAAAATAAACATCAGGAAATTAATGCTAAGAATTAATTAAAACTAATTATGAAACGGTTAATGAGTTAGTCCAAATAAGGATAGTTTGTCATTCTTCCTTTTTATTTAAAGCAAAATCTGCAACATGATAGCTGTATTCTTTCTGACTTGTTTAGAATATGGGAAAGAAGCTAGAAAAGGAAATACTAAGGAAAAAAATTTTTAATTTCTTTCCCCGTTCCTTTACCATTACCCCACAGTTCCAAACTGCTTTTGTCTGAATACTTTGACTCTAAACATGGTGTTTTGTAAGAAATAGAATACCTTTACTTTGTGAAGCTCTGAGTTTTAAGGGGACACAACTTAAGAGATATTCATGTGTAAAATAAAAAGAATTGTTTCTTTTTATAAATAACATGGAAATCACTAGAAATGAAAGATATATGAAAGTCTAAGTTACTTTTTATTATTTCAACTTTCTTTTTACTCGTGACTGGAACTATTGCAGGTTGTTTAAACATGCACAACTCTTCAGACGATTGTGGTTTACCAGGTGTGTGCAAGAGACCTTATGTCATAAATACCATGTCTTCCCAAAGAAAAGTCTGTATTGAATCTCTTTGTATGTTTCTTTTTATAAATAACATGGAAATCACTAGAAATGAAAGATATATGAAAGTCTAAGTTACTTTTTATTATTTCAACTTTCTTTTTACTCATGACTGGAACTATTGCAGGTTGTTTAAACATGCACAACTCTTCAGACGATTGTGGTTTACCAGGTGTGTGCAAAAGACCTTATGTCATAAATACCATGTCTTCCCAAAGAAAAGTCTGTATTGAATCTCTTTGTATGGGGTCTGACTACCCTGGTGACAGATAAGGGTGGTAAGAGGGAGCCTGTCAGATAATGATATCCTCACACAGAGACTGCAAAGCCAATCCGCCCACATGGTTTTAGAGAATGTTGGTCACTTCTCCTTTATCTAGCAGCACTTTGTATCAAATTATATAGCCCGTGTCACGGAGAAGTTGTCAGCCACCAAAAGACTCAAAATCCAGTGGTTTAAGGATAAAGTCTGGGCCCTGAAACAACAATTTTCTGAGTTGCTTCACCCCAACCCACTGCCCTAAATTTCCTTGCCTTGAGTTTTAGGGATTGCTTGCGCAGTAATTCCCCTCTAGGATTAATGTAAAATAGGTCAAAATAACTATTGCCAACTCCCGATTATTCTAATTTAGGTTTGTGGGCTACCAGTAGCATGGTTAAGGGTTTTTTAATTTTTTTGTCCCTGGTGGTGGTGGGTTTGGGTTTCTTTTAATCATCTCCCACCTTCTTATACCTCTCTTCTGATCACCTTCTCCTCACCCAGTTAATGTGTGCTCAGGAAACTTAAACCATCTTAATATTGGCTTAAGTAAAATGTAATTTAAAAGGCAGATTATATTGGGAAGGGAGGAAGAAAACATAATGAATTCCAATACTGAATATATTTTTAGACTTGCTGCTCCACAGTTCTGTCCTTTAGTCAAGAGAGCTGAAAGTTGACTCGATGTATTTAGTTATATACCCTGGTGTGTTTTTCCCCCACAGAAAAATGAGCCAGTCTAGCTTTGTAAAGAAATGGTTTTAATTTTTCCCCAGCCAAATCTTCTAAAAGGTTATGACATCCCTACAGATCTGAACCCAGGAGAGCTGATCACCTTTCCTTGCCATTCCTAAATATCCTCTGACTGCTCTCACACCTTCCCATCTTCCTGTATTTGCAGGAGGCAAATCAGACACATTCAGGTAGTTAGAGCCTCCAGTTGCCCAGTGAGAGGCTGGTGGGCGCTGGTGGTCTCATACAGCTTTGCTCCTACAGACAGCCCGAGGGCTTCATGCTAGATCAAGTACTCTGTGAGAAAATCGACACATGAACGCCCCAACCAGCTAGGACCACAGGATAACACAGTAACTCTCACAAGTTAAACAATGTGTACTAGGAGAAATCTGACAAAGGATGACTTGTGAACAGGTTTTTACTAGTGCTGGGGGTAGAGGAGAGGGTGATACACAGGTGGAATCCTCAAAAAAGTTAATTTAACCCTTGGTAACAGCCACCTTTGTTGCATACAAGGGAGGTTGTCCATATGAAAATACTTTTTGTCATTTTAATGTTAAAAATGGGGGCAGGAGGGTTGCAAAATCAAACTGTTTCTTCACGATGAAAAAAACTGGGGGTCTACACCAGGCACTGCTTTTGGTATTTTTTCCTAGGAAAATAATTAACAAAAGGGCAAAGCCTACTCATGTCTGTTTACCTGTCTCCATATTTTCCTGGTCTCCCCATTTGGCCTAGTTACATGCAGAATGTACAGCATTCTGAATGCAAGATTTTTCAGGCAAACCCAGTAATCTTTCTTGTGCATTAAAATTGTATTTTCTCCCCAGGATTCAGGAGGTTAGATGTACTTCGCAATTCAAATTCGGTCCCATTAATCCTCATTTGTACATGTGGATCTTTTATTTAGAAGGAACGTTAAATCTAGTGGTGCTAGCTTTGACCAGTGTACATGCTGCAGAGGACATGCATGGCACAGTAGCACTCTGAACATCCATTTGCAGTGCTGTGGGTTTTGCATCTATTCATTTTAAATTCTGATTTTTAAGACATTTTTTAAACCAGAAAACATTTGGGGACTTAAACCCTACAATCATGTTCCTTTCAAATACAGACTGCATCCAACCCTCATTCTGCATCCAGCTCATTCCTATATAGGAGGAGGGTGTCTATGGGAATAAAAAGAACTTTGTAAAAATAAATGGATACACATCTTTGCAAAAAAATGTCAAACCAAGTTTCTCCCTCCCCTATCCCCCACAAAATAAATCATAAAAGAAAAAAGTATTCTAATGAGTGGGGTTTATTTTGTGGGGGGTGAGGGGAAGAAACTTGGTTTGACATTTTTTTGCAAAGATGCTTATCCATTTATTTTTACAAAGATTTTTTTCCCTATTGTATTTTTCTCCAACCCATACGCATAGACACCCTCCTCCCTATGTAGGGAACCCATAGCAGCCTATCCCCCAGGGCTTCCCAGTGGGGCAGTCAGGCCTGGGTCCTCTCCTGTAAACATTAGCTGAGGACCCATGAATGAGATGCACAAGTCACTTTGCCAGTCTGTGAGCCCCTTTCCCTCCCAGACACCAGGCCTGGAACATCCAGGAGATATCCAGCCTTTATTGTCCATCCAGCTCATTGGAATCCCCCTTTTTTTTTTTTTTTTTTTCTTTTTTGCTTCTTTTAACTTTCAGGTAGTTCTTGTACAGGTGGGTAGAGGGTTAGCAGAGTGAAATGGAGAGGAACTTGAGCACTTACCTCTCCACCCACTGTAGCTAAGAAGATCTTCCCTGTTCTGCCCTGTTTCTTGTTCTCATATTTGATGGAAAAGGGGGATGGAAGTGAAGAGCTTGGCTTAGTGCAGTCTTTGACTAGCTTCTACATCCATTGCATTCATTTCCAAAGCTAATTCCCAGTGGCATAGTTCCTGTCAAAGTTGTGAGACTCTAGCTACCTTTTTTCCCCTGCCTTGACTCATTGCCAGTCATTTCTAATAAAGATGTTTATTAGGCTGTTAAGAGATTTGATAAAACTAGCTGGATAATTAGGTAAATGATTGAGAAATCTGAACAGCATTCCTGCTACATATGTTATTCTAAATTGCTGCAGTTTGTTTAGATTGCACAGAATACTCTCTTCCTCTCTAAGAGCCAGTCTATACATAAGAGAAAATAAGGCCACCCAGGAAAAAACCCATGCCTGTATTCTCTGTCCCTCCTGCCCACTGCGAGTATCTTCACCCCCGTGAAGTGTGTGCTAAGGCTCATGAAGCGCATGTGACCCACAGAAGACCACCAGTGAAAAGGAAGCCATTCATAGCCAGTGTCTCTTTGGAAATCAGGAAAACCTAAAGGAAGAGTGCTTTTCTGAAAGACATCCCAGCACTTGACACTTATCTGCTTTTTCTCTTTTAGTATGAGCGAAAGCCAAATGATTAGCCTACCTGTTGTTAAAGTATTCATAAGAAGAGGCTTTGAGAACTAAGACACGAGGGATACCTTACTCTGATTTTCTTTTCCTCCTTAGGTCCAGAGGGGGCAAACCTCTTTATTTACCACCTTCCACAGGAGTTTGGAGACCAGGACATTCTGCAGATGTTCATGCCTTTTGGAAATGTTATCTCTGCTAAAGTCTTCATTGACAAACAGACCAATCTGAGCAAGTGCTTTGGTATGCAAAAGAAACCAAGCTAGAATGTTGCAGTAGGTTCCCAAGTGAGGAATCATGGGAAGGAAAATGTGAATGACAAATATTTTCAGAGTCAGGATAGAGTCTTGTGTGGTGGTGGTTCGTGATTTTCTGCATGTATGTAAGCAGATTTGGACAAAGTTGTTTAATCAAAAACAGGGGAAGGGGCTATATAAAAAGGAAGGAGCTGGAAAATTAAACTAAATGCCCATACATTAGGGTAATGTTCTGTACTGTACTATTAAAGTGTCTTACTACATATATTTAATAATCAGGCTATATAAAAAGGAAGGAGCTGGAAAATTAAACTAAATGCCCGTACATTAGGGTAATGTTCTGTACTGTACTATTAAAGTGTCTTACTACATATATTTAATAATCTTTCATTGTAGAGCAATAGCTGTTTCTTCAAGCCTCATAGATTGAACCATGAACTTTTATCAGATGGAAATATACAGTTAACACATTGTAATTTTGGCTGTCCTGATACAGAATAGTGTTGTAGACACTTTGCCACTAATTTCTTACCCCCTCCAGGTTTAATATGACTCAGACATTTTAATATGCTGTGGGTAACACATTGTATGGGGGCTTGTATTAGTCCCTTTCTGTTACTTATTAGAACAAAATACCCGGAACTGGGTAATTTATAAAGAAAACAAAATTTATTGCTTACAGGTTTGGAGGCTGGGAAGTCCAAAGTCCCAGGAAGCACATCTGATAAGGGTCTTCTTTGGTGGTGGCTTTACAGCAATGCAGGGGTCTCACATGGCAGAAAATGGTGGAGCAGAGAGAGACTCTCACATGCTGTGCTTTTAAAGCTCTTAGAACCACACCCATGACCACCCTTATTAATCCATTCAGTAGAGCATGGTCCTACAATCTAATCACTTCTTCAAGGCCCCACCTTTCAATTATAATAGGATTTCCCACCCTCTTAACAATCACAGTGGGGATCAAGTTAGGGGATACCATCCATATCTGGGCTTATCATTCAAGCATCTTGATACACACACACACACACACACTCTCTCTCTCTCTCTCTCTCTCTCTCTCTCACTCACTCACTCACTCACGCACTCACAAATATACATACATTCACCAGCGGGGATGCCATCAGGCTGCCACCAGATTGCAGCACACCTGACAGGATGGGCGGTTAATGCAGTGTCTCAGGATTGGGTAGAACACTGCATTGTGATGGGATTCAAGGGCTGGAATCTGGGATTCTAAGATTGGCAGGGACTGTGTGAATGGCTATAGAGCACAGGAGTGTGCAAGTATTATCAGAACAGTGGAAAACCCAGCTCCTCAGTGCACCAGCTCATCCTGCCAACCTTCCTCAAGTAGCCTGGACTCTGCCTTCTGTGGCTTTTTCTGCTCTGCAATAGAGTAAGGAAAGCCTACTGCATGCACTGATGTCTTATACCAGGAGGTGTTTTATTTTGCAAACCCTTTTGCCCCCCAAAGTAGTTTAGAGACCAGGCAGGATGTTCCGAGTATATGTTACTTGCTCGCAAGCACTGGCCCAGTGTGAAGTAGAACATTTGCTTTAATCGCTCCTGCAATTTACTAATGCATGGTGGGTAGTAAGTAACAGCATAAAACAAAATAAAGTAATAGATGTGGGCCAAAGGAAACACACAGAATTGTGTGTTATAAAGAAAAATATCAAAGGTAGGGTGGTTCTCAAACAGCCAAAAACTCAAACTTTCTATTTGGCTGACTGGTAATCAGTAACCAGTCCAAGGACAATGTTTTGGCTTCTAAAACTGTGTTATCATAGTGTTTTTCTAATTTCTCTGCTCTCACCCAGGAAGGTCTGCAGTCTCTGTTGTTAGGGGAATTAGTATGTCAGCCATTTAAAGTCACCGTTTTTACCCTAGTGGAAAGGTTGTCAGCCTGAACCCATTACACCATCGCTGTCGCTGTGGCGACTACATAAACCCCCTTGTAATGGTTCATGAGAGGGTGAAATGGAAATTAAATTGTTATATAGAGTATGTGTGTGTATTTGAGTGTGAGCTTACCTTCGGGAGGCTTCCCTGCCCAAGGTTTTAAGGCAGACTTTTATATTTGTCATAGCTAAACAATGTTCTAGGCTCATTTGCAGACTGGAAAGGGATTGTGCTTTGTGGTTTGACTTGAGAAAATATTTACTGCCCCGAAAGATTATATCAGCCCACAAACTACTTGACCAATGTGTTCATAATGATATAAGCTATAGCTATGTGTATCAGCAATTATTTTGCATTATGGACTGCTTTTAATTTTTACTGAAAGCCTTAGCATCCCGGGTTTTTCACCAAGCCACCTAATTTTTCAGGGCCCCGGTTTGCTGGATTGCTAGTCATGAGGTGGTACCTTGCTGTTTCACTGGTACTTCCTGGCCCTGTTTCTTTATCCTCCTCACCCTTAACCCATTTCCATTCTTTAATCATCTTGCTGTGTTTGGATAAAGACCAAGAGGGAAAGGAGAAAAGTCAGCGCAAAAATCTTGGATTTGAGACCACATTTATTGGGAATTAGATTAAATAAAAATTTAAACAACCCCTTTGCAATACAGCCTGCCTGTGAAAAGCTTTTCTGCCTTATGCCATATGCCCATGTTTATCAGCTGAGAAGAGGTGCTGCTGCAAGTGCATTTATGTCCTTTTCTTCCTCCTCTAGTTTGTAAAGGAATTTTCTCTTTAGCTTTAAATTTTAATAGTAGATAGAGATGCCTACTATAGAAACTTCTGAACAGCTGATGTTCAGGACTGAAATTAAATCTGTGTAATAGCTTCCTTTCAACATCAAAAGTAGGTAGGAGCTGTGCAAGCCCACCATTGGAATTGGCATTAACTAAAGCTGTCCTTGTACCCCTGCCCCTGCTTTACCCCCCAGGGCTAGAACAAATTATATGATCAGAATTCTCTTGTTTCTGGGTCTTTGCAGAGCATCGTAAGTTCTTTTTCAAGAGCATGCCCTCCCTTCTTTTTTCGTGGTGGTGGTTGCTACAGAGAAGGATACTGGGAATTCTGTTAAGATGATTGTTAAGCCCTAAGCTATTTAGACTGTTTATTCCCCAAAACTTTGGGAGATGAAAGGTAGCAATTTTCTTTCTGTTGAATTTATTGGAGCTCTGAAAATGGAAATACAGGTAAGACGAAAGGCCCAGCATTTCCCTAGGTTCCTCTCAGTAATAACTCCAAAATGTTAAAAATCAGGTGTAAATTATTCTAGAGCTTATTCACTAATTGACCCATCCTCTAGCCAAACAGGTGTCGGCTCGGTCTGTGAATATATATGTGGAGAACGGGAATTAAAGTCAGAGTCTTTGGCAGTATCCACTGTTACCCAGCCCCTCCCTTCATCATCCTGCCTTAAGCCTCACCCGGTTGGGACATGTGAGCCTCTGGCAGCCCTTTGAGGCCTGGAATATTTATACCACTGCTTATATGAGTAGTGCTTATTTGTGTACCTGGGGTTCTTTTGGAAGGATTCTAAGAGACTTTAAAAACGAATAGATTTGACTGAAATCAATAGATTAAATTCACTCAAACAACTGAGTTCAAGATTTTAGTTTTCTGAGGAGGGGTTTTGTTCTACATGATACCAAATTACCAGACCAACTAGCTTTGTCACTGCTTCTCAGTGGACATTTCCCATGTTGTCCCTGAGACCCTGCCCTGTGCACAGTAAATTCAGCAGGTCTGGAAGGAGACTGTGAGGCTGGCATACATTACTTAGCACTTGCACTCACACCATGCCACCCAGCCCCAAAAGCCCTGGTCCCCCTCTTCTGCACGGCTCCCTCTCCATGGTGACTCCCTCCTGCCTTCCCCTTTGTGTTTTCCAGGTTTTGTTAGCTATGACAATCCCGTCTCTGCACAAGCTGCTATCCAGGCTATGAATGGCTTTCAGATCGGCATGAAACGCTTGAAGGTGCAGCTGAAGCGCTCCAAAAACGACAGCAAACCTTACTGATCCTAACCCCAGAGGCTCCCTGCTCTTATTTTAGCTTTCTTAGGGTAAGTCCCATAAGCCAGCCTGTTCTCAACAGGAAAGGCAGAGGAGGACCACATTGCCAACTTTTACCAAGAGAGACGGTTATTTTTACAATAAGGCCTCCATTTCCCCCCCACTCCCTCCACCCAGTCTGCCATATTAAAACTTGGGCTACCTTGTTTCTATTGAGTAAATTCCACCTCCAGTTGTGCCACTGTATTTCATTTGTTTTGCGATTTGAATCTCCTTTTACCTTTTTTTTTTCATTTTTTTATTTTTGCTTTTTTAAAGAAAAACATATACACAAATAAATGACATCTTGAGAATTTAAAAGGCAAACAAACGTAATGTGCAATTCTAACTCTGAAACCACTGGTGCCCCAAGAGCACTGCCTGGAAAATTCATCCTCCTTGGCCTGCGCCCGCCCCTCCAGAGGGCAGGGGCGGCGGGGACAGTCTTTAGAAGTTAACTTGGTGGCCTAGCGAGAGGGGGAAGCCAGGAGAAGCACTTACTCAAAACAACACAAAACGTCTTTCCACTACATCAGTTGGTTTTAATAAGTAGGATTTTATTTTAGGGTTCAAAGAAACATGATAATTTATTGATCAGATTATTACATTGGTTGTCTATTTTGTTATTGTTTTATTTTAGTTTTTAGAAAGGATTAATGTAAAAAAAAAGATTTAGAGATCTGTTTCTTAAAGCTACAGGGTTTAAAAATAAAATAAAAATGAGTGAAAATACTTGATGTTTCTTGAAAGATAAATTTAATAATAATAAATAAATACATAAATAATACATAAAAAAGAAAGCCACAGGCCTGTAAATTTTATTTGTAAAAAAAGCATTTCTATTTTTATACAAAATTTTTACTGCCTCAGAAATAATGGAAGTTATTTATTGCCTATTGTTAACTTATTGGGTACCTAAAGAGCAGTTCTCTGTCTAGCTAGAACCTTCTGAAGTAGTCTCTAGAGGAATTGTTCTAGGAATGGGCTTTTTTTCACCGTTGAACCCTAGACCTAAAGTTCATGCTTTATCCTCTCGTTGTTCATATCTGTCTGATTATTTTGTTCGTAACTTCCATTATCCAGTTTACAGTTCAGTTGTCTGACTTTCCCCATATGTCACATTTGTTGAAACTGGACCCTCTCCCCTGTCCCTTGCCAGTCCCTCACCCCAATACACCTGGAATCCATCCCTTCTCACTCTCTCCAGATGGATTCTCTTGGGGTTTCATTGTGCTGTGGATAAAGAGTGTAAGAAATGCAAATTATGTGAATGGCTCGTAGACTCCCTAATGACCTAAGATTTGCATTAGTTTATCTCCTGCACCCTTAAAAGTGATTTTGTTGCTGCTGCATAGATTCTGTGTAACTTTTTACTCTTCCTTGTTTTTTCCCTAGACATCTTCATGCCCGTTAGTTCATCGTTTGCCTAGCATGTCCCTGTGGCGTCTCAAAAAAAAGTTTCATCGTCCCGTCATTGTTTCTGATGTCTTTCTGACCTCACATCACATTTGGTTCTCCTACTGACCTTTGATCTAGTTTGACCTTTGAAATTTGCATGTGACCTCATCTAGCTATGAATTCTGGGAAGTCAATGTGAAAAACATTGCTGCATTCATGCAAGACTGAAATTTATTATTAGACAAATTAATTATAGAAAAAAACCTGTGGCAAAAATGTTTCCTTCTTTTTTTTTTTCTTTTTTCTTTTCATAAAACAGACTTGAAAGTATTATACAGGGATTGGCATTCTTCCCGGTCACTGGTAACAATAGCAATATGTGTCCAGGGACACAGAATGTTGGTTTCTAACAGACTACTTCCAAAAACAGTTTGAGAAAAAAACTGTCTGATTTTAAGTCTCTAGAGGTCTGTAATAGTTTTTACATTTTTCAGGCAGTGTAAAGTTTTTTGATAAGGCCATTTTAGGTGGCTCACTTTCTCATTAAGATATATATATAGAACCACTTTTTGTAGATTAGTATAAGAAAAATATTTACCCTGTTTTGGGGCAAATGCTACCTATTTGTGTCACCTTTTGCTGAACTGACTCACAGTTAGACAATCCATGGTTTAATGCACATGAAATTACCTATATTTTATACTGTTTCAATGTACAGGAGAAAGGTTACTGTAAACTGTGTTATGTTGGTGCTTCTGTGAATTAAGTTGTGGTTTCATCATGAGTCTTATGGTCTTAATGTTCTTTGTTGATAAGACAAGTTTAGAATTGGTTTACTTAAAACAAAAAAGAATTTCAAAAAAAAAGTTGTTTGCTTAAAAAAAATTTCATGTGAGGGGAAAAAAAAAACCTATTCCAGAATAAGTTTTGTGTTGGCTTGTGAAGCATTGATGTCATTTTTTTTTTTATTGTGGACTATTTAGATGTGTTTGTGTTCAGCAAAATGTGATTTTTTTTTCTTTTAAAGAAAAAAGTGAAAATATATAGTGCCAAATTCCAAAGGTACGTCCTTCCTAGAGCTTCAGTGTGTTTCTTGTGAGAAGTAATTTGATAACATGGGTATTTTATTATGTGTTTTGTATAAATCCCTAATATTTAAAAAAACAAACAAAAAAAAGAGGTTAAAAAGTTTGTTAACTTGCTATCCTGTGGTCTTGTTGCCTGAAATTGTTATTTGTTATTTCTCTATGATGTTTTTTGTAAGACATTGTATAAGTGCCCATGTCTCACTTTTTTAACCACTCTGCACATCAATGCTGTGAAGGCAACCTCACCATGTATTTTCTTCATAATATATGGAAACCTCTAAGGTGAGAAAGTTTTGAACTTTTAACCCTTTCTACCCAGAGCTATCTGAAATGTTGGTAACTTTTTATACTGTCATCATGAGTTTGTTTGGGGGTGTTTCTAATTTAGATAATTTTTTTCTACCTATATCTTCTGAGTTTTTTCTTTCTTTGTTTTTACTATTTTTTTATCCTTTGGGTGAGATCCAAAAGAAAACACTCTACAAGGCAAATCTGAAGGGGAAAAAAATAACTCTCTCCAATTTTTTCCCTACTCCATTTTTTCTCTTTTTTTTACTTTTGATTATTTCTGGTAATTTTTTTAAAAAAAAAGAATTCCTAATGTGCTGCTGGAATTCCTTCTTCAGTTTGAATTAAAAACAATTTATTGGATAAACCGTCTGAGGGGAAAAGTAGGTAGAGTCAGCATTTAAACCTTAAAAACTCTGTAGGCTTTTGAGATCAGGTTTAGTGGTATGTTCTATCTTAGAATATTTTCATATACCTTGCAGTTAAACGACTTTGGGATGAGATAGTCTTTTGAGGGATTTTGCTTTTGTTTCTTAAATACTCCTAAATATTTCTAATCAGCCATTGTGGTGGGGATTCTCTGACCCCAGTGGATACCTCTGAATCAGCAAGGTATTTGGAGTTAGAAGCTCACAGCTTTTCCTGCCTTTTTGTTTTTTGGTTGTTATTATTGAACACATTTAAAGGGGAATGACCATATAAGTAAAGCTCAGTTCTTTATCAAAGTTACTGATCAAATACCTAGCACCAATTCCTGCTGCCACTTTTTAAAGTGCCATATGACTTTGACCTTCTGTGAACAGATATCTTGCTGTCTTGACAAACCTTAATGTCATACCTACAGCCCCAACACAAACTCCAGCCTTCCTGATAGCAGGCCCTGGAAGCTTCTTGGTCTCAGCTCCATGTCCCCTCCCCTCTCCCACCCTGTTTGGCTTAATGGGTGTGTGGATGTGATAGCCCTGGGATGGAAAGGACTAGCCTCTCATAATGCAAAAAACAAAAACAAAAGTTTCCTTCTTATAGCACATGCACTTCTAATGAAATGATTTGTATTATCCTCACACGTGTTTACTACTGCTGGGGCCTTCCTTCATCCTTTGAGGGCTATTTTGTACTTCCTGCAGCAATCAGCTTACTAACAAAAATTATCGCACATGCCTCTCTCATATATTTATTATATGGTGGTGTGTAGACACATACATAAAAAACACAAGAGAACACCATTCAGATTTCTTAGAACGTTTCATTCAGAATCTCTTCATCTGTCAGTTACAAAAATCTCAAAGAAAATTTTCTGATTCCTTCACTGAAGCAAACTGCCCTCCTCCTGCCCTCTTTTCCTCTTCACCCCCCTGCATCTCCCCCAAAAGAGAAATTGAGCGCAGCAGACAGGAGGCTCAGGCTGGGCACTTTGAGTTGAATGTTTCTTATTTTGCAGACAACCAAGACAGTATATTTAGGGGGAAAGTCCTTTTTTTTTTTCTTTTCCATGTTCCACTGTTAAAAAGATAACCCTCCTCCTCAGAGACAAACTGTCCTTTTATCCCTTCATTCACTTATCTTTTAATATCAAAAGGAAAAAGCTGCAGGGGAGCAGAGGGCCTGTGCCAGAAGAAAAAACACACAGGGAAACTGCTTTTTTAAATCACGTGTAGAGAATAGTCATTTTTAAACTAAATGAGAGAATTACGATAAAATGGCAGTCCTCAAAGGCGTAACAAGTTCATCTTTCTTTCACCATAGGGGTTATAGTTCTTTGGCTTGTGCTACTCTGGAATCATTTTACTGTTTCTGTTTTTATTATCTTAAGTGCTAATTAAAAGAAGAAATAAAATTTTTAAAAAACCTGTAGTTCCATTACCTTTTTGAATAATGTCATACAAAAAATGTATTTGTGTTTTTTTGTGCTGTGAGAATTGTTGTTTGTAGATTAATAATATCATTTTGTTTAGAATTACAAAATAGTTTTTAAATATTGTCTGAGAAAAGCCAAAGTTAATGCAACCTAGTGGAAACTGTAAGACCATTTGAGTATTGTTTCTGTTTTATTGATGCATTTGGATTTTGTTGTTCGATGGAATTTGAGCCAAAAAAAAAAAAAAAACAACGCAGGCTTTCCTATTTCTACAACTGATTGTACTTATGCATTTTGTACCAGTGGAACTTTTTATACTGGAGATTAAAAAAAAAAAATGGAAATTTTTGTGGCTTACTCTAGTGGGCCCCCTGACAATGACTGATTTCAAGTTTGATTTCTGGTTGATAAGAAGAAAGTTGCTTTTCTTTTGAGAATTAAAAACTTTGGCTTGCTTTCTTTTTCCCTTTGCTTATATCTAGCATTAGAATTTTGTCTTAAAATACAGCGGTAAGTTTCACTTTTTATTCTGTATTGTGCAGTTACACAATAAGGTAATTAGATTTAGAAGTACTCAGTCACTTTAAGTGGATAAATGTATTAGTTAAAACTTTAGGGGTTTGCTTTTTTGCTGTTTAGATCAATTTTCTGATTCTTCTGTCCTCATTGTGAACATAACTGTGTAGTTGAAATAGTCAAACTTATTTTTGTAATGTATGTTATTGTGTGATGCGGTTTTTTGCTTCTGTCTCCAATATTAAACCATTTTCCTAATACTTGTTTCTCTCTCTGCGTGTTGTATTGTTGGTAGTCATTATATGTTGGTGATACATCTGCACACCTCACTGTTTCACGTATGTTTTTTTTCTATATGTTGTGTAAATAGATACAGTCGATTCCACCTAAGTGAATATCTGATTTGGGGAACTGTACACCAGCCACCTTTATTTATGTACAACAAACCATTTTCATTACTGCTTCCAAGGTTTATACACTTTTTTCTATGGTTTACCTAAATAACTGCCACAGAGTTGGACTTGCCAAGATGTTTTGTGGCCTTTTGACCACATAGAGTAATTTCACCTTCTCTCCTCTCCTCTTCTGATCTACCCCTTCCCTTCTCCCTCCCTCCCTCATGAGTATACACATGATATGTGCAGTTCTTAATGTTCATTAAAAACTGCTGCTGGGGTTTCTTCTATCTGCCGGTGAGTCCAAAGACATATCATTACAGTCACTCTTCTTAGAAACTAATCACCTTTTTAAAAAAGGTGAGCTCTCCAGGGAAGAAAAAATAAACCTAGCTGGTGAATAGAGGATGTGAAAAGGGCTAAACTTAAGTCTGTGTGTTGCCATCAATCAATAGATGTGAACAGAAAAGTTATTTATTTCAGTGAGTTAACTGGATCCAGGAGTGGCTTTAACTATTAAAGATAACAGAAGAGAAAAATATTTCCAAGTGCTCAGATGGAAGCTCTACTCAGTCTGGTGGGGGTGGGGATGAGGTAAGGTTTTGCATGCTCACACCTTCGTAGTATGTTGTCCGTTTCCAAGTGACAGTTAATAATGCCACTCCCTCCTGGATGAACACAGTGTTAAGAATAAGCATTGGCCCCACTATCACCACATCCCAGTTACCAAAAAGAGAACTATTCCTTACATGCTCTCTTTAATAATGCCACTCCCTCCTGGATGAACACAGTGTTAAGAATAAGTATTGGCCCCACTATCACCACATCCCAGTTACCAAAAAGAGAACTATTCCTTACATGCTCTCTAAAACTGAAGCCACAGGCCCTCCGCCCTTTTCCGTCCATCTCCTATGCTCAGGAATCTGATGATTGCTCTTAAAGTGCTCTTAAGAGATTCCATCGACGTTTGCTCCAGTCTTATCTCTTTTTCCAGTTTCTCAGACGCACAAGCTGTGTCCAACTCAGGCCACCCAGCACCTGGCAGCCATCCTCTGGGTGCCAATGAGGTTTTCCCCTGCAGGTGCTCAGTCTCTTCACCCTCTGGTTTCAGCAGCCCCTCTGGTCCCAAGATTGCAGTTTCTAGTTGGTTCAACAAGAGAGGGGCCTAGGGAGGTGGAAGAGAGGAGGCTCTCTCCTGTATGCTGAACACCTCACTGGTAGTGACTTCCACAGCTCCAGGCCTACACAGATGGGAGCTGACTTCCTGCCGAAGCTCCTGCTCTAGCTCATCACAGCCTGCCTCAGCCTGCCTCTGAAACCCACTGCTTACCTTCATGGGGAGAGATGGCTGAGGGTGTGATTTCTTTTTCTTTTCTTTGGGAGGGAGGAGGTTGGAAAGTATGAGGGAGGGGAGTGGGGGGAAGGAGGTGATCAAATTGTTTCCAAGGTGCAAGTGTTTATCTTTTAGACACATAAGTACACATTTCCACCATGTGACACAAGGCAAAATACTCATGCTAAGTAAAGGAAGGGAAAACAAAGCCAAATTCTCCAAAGAAGGGGATGAAAATACCAGCTCCTTTGAGCACTTAACCACTGTAAAGCTGGTCCCTGCTTAAGTTCCCACTTACAATTTTGATGATATAAAACACCGTTGCAGTGTTAGCAAGGTGTGTCTGTTTGCCATGCACGGACCACCCTGGGAAGTGACAAGCGTGTTTGTTTACCTTGCTGCTGGGAGCCACATGTCTGGCCAGCCCATAGCAGGCATGTGCGGTCTGTGGCCGGACTCTTGGCTGGCAGGCTGGGAAGCCCAGTGAAGGCAAAAGTACTGTGAATCGTTCCTGATAAGTGAATAAAACGTGACCGAGCAATCAGTTCATTCACTTATCAGGAATCGACTGTTCTGCTGATTCGCTGTTTTTGTTCTTCATCTCTGTTGTAGTTCACTATTTTTGCTGTGTTCTGTTTTCTCCTCTCATGCTTGGGCAAAATCACTGGGAATATTTTCATGTGACTATGAAACGTTTATATCGAGTGAAAATGGTATCTTAACAAAATCTATGCACTTGCTATCAGGAACACAATACTGGATGTGTCTTATATATATTGAACTATATAGTACTCGATTTCTTAAATAAAGCTTAAGAAAGGACTGTTGTGTGTAAAATTAATGTGATTATTTTTCAAAGCAGTGTTTCTAAGGGGTATTTTTGTTCTTTTAAGTCTTGAGTGATACAGGATATTTTTCATTAAAATTATATCGCTGGCTTTATGACTTAATATTCAATAAATTGACTTTGGAAACAAAATGGAGTGGGGGGAAGTTCTTCTCAGTGCATTTTAGAAAGAGACATCTGGAAAAGCATCCCCTTATTTGATCATGGCAAATCTACCCAGGCGCTGTGGGTGGCACAACAAAGCAATGCCTTCTCCTCCAAAAGACCAGTAGAAAGCGTCCAGAGTCTGCCCTAACCTAGAAAACCCACTGCTTTTCGAAATATGATCTCTTTAGGCTCAGAAGAAGGGACAAAGAAAGGCAGATCCAAGAATGCCACTGGTTACCATCTATGCTTTGCCAGAATGATGTGACACTAAAACTATACCCTGCTGGAGAACAGTGGCGGTCCCATTCAGAACTGAAAAAAGAGACAGCAAAAGAAGGGATTTGATCATTCAGGATGAGAAGGGTAAATTTTCAAAGTGATATGTGAGAGAGAGACCTCCTCTAACAGTGGCAAAGCTTAAATGGGAGCCTGCTGCTAGGCCTTTTGAAAGAATATTTTTGAAGTTTTTCCTACAGGCCGTAGTTTGAACAGAATGGCATTTTCTGTTGGGTCTTTTTGCTTTGGGGTTTTATGTTGGATTTGTTTCTCTTGCTTAATGTGTAATTCTAAGAAAAACTCCTAAACTCCTACTTTTAAAATGGCACAGGCATCCTTATCCCTTATAAAACAAATTTTAATTGTCTCTGGTAATGAGAGAAAGAGCATAGTTAATGAAGATCCACAGATAATCCAAAATTATTCTTCCATTCTCTGCTTCCTCCCACCCCAAAACGCCTAAAAAAAAAAAAAGCACACAAAAACTTCTAGTGAAGGTGTGGGATCAGAGAAATACTCCAGGGACAGGAAAAGGTAGCCCAGTCAAAGGGTCTGCACAGGCTGTACTTGCGGGAGCCATGCAGTCTGGGTGGGGGAGAGGAACACTGTGAAAGCCATGGGTCTACATGGGCTGGGCTCCAGTGTTGAAGAGTTTGCTGCACGTGGAGGTGTCCTAGGAAATCCTCTCTTCAGTCAGTCACAAGGCTAGAAAGCCTCCCCTTGTCTGAAGAGATCACATCCAAGTCCATAAGAGGTAGGAGAGCACTGAGCCTCAGTAAGGGAGTACTGATTCAGGAGTCCCCCACGTCTCATAAGCCGGGAACTGTGTGCTGGGAGGCCAGCTCAGAGTGACAGGTTGAGGCAGCCTTAAGTCAGAGGCCTGTCAGGCAGGAGCTGCCTTAAGGGGAATGCTACATTCTTTTAACCTCTCTCTACTGGTCAGCAAAGTAGCCCAGCACCAACCTCTCCATACCTGCATCAGGAGGACGTTTAAAAAAAAAATACATATAGACAGAATATATATATATATACACACACACACATATGTACATACATGCAGTGTTCTGCAACTGGTCAATTACAGTTAAAGCTGCACATAAGAATCACCAATTTTAAGACATGGATGATCCTCCCATCTCGAGGCTGGCATCACAGGTACGGAGAGGGAGTGCGTAGGAGCATTCTCTGGGGAGCCAGGCTGAATGCTGATCACCCATGTAACCTCCCTGTGCCTTAATTTCCTCATTAGCAAAGTGAGGGTAGATGTAATAACTAATGCAGGGCTTGTTATGAGGACTAACTAAGCCGACAGATAAAACGATTTGATCAGGGCCTGTGACATTGTAAGCACTCAGCGCCAGTTAGCAGCAGTGGTAGCACTTCTGCCACGGTCAGCTAAACTCCCACTGCCAGCCTGGTCTATTACCTGCTCCTACCAGGTGTCCTCTCAGCCATCCCCAGAGAGCCCCCTAGCTCTCTGAGTTCCCTGGATAACTATATACAAGGTCTAGCATCACAGAGATAGTGCATAATCCACAAATCATCCACTTGTTCAAAAGACACGCACTAAACAGCTACCCCATAATAGGCACTCTGGTAGGAGCTGGGAGTGCAAAGACAATTAATATCTCATCCCTGCCTGTGGAAGTTTTGCCATGATTAGCCTCTCTGCCAAGTAAGGAGAAACCCTTCAAATAGGTGAGAGAGCAGATGGTCCAGACCAACACTCTCCTGACAATGGACACCACATCACCATGGCGCCCACATGGGGCCATGTGCTGAAGATCCACAAAGAGATGACAGCTCTTTCAAGCCCTTGGCTGAACTCACTGCTGCCCAGACTCAGTGTCTCCCTGCTTATAGCTGGAAGGTCTGTCAAGGGGGAGAATGAAACACAATGGGTAACGGGGGCAGAAGAGCTGTCCCTGAAGTCTTCTACATGGCAATGTCTCTACCAAGGGCAGAGTTGACCAAAGTGGCCTTATGGGCTCCAGAGTCATTTCCCAACTGTCCAACTATGGTACATTCTTACTAGTCTACAAAATGTGATGTGCCTCATGAAGGAGTACAATGGAGTTGGGGCAGGTGGGTAAGGGGAGACAGGGCCTCTGTGGCAGTGAAGGATGGGAGTGGTGGCATGAGAATGCCTGCTAAGCTAACACTGCCATCGGTGTCCACCTGGAGCGCCAGGGCCCCAGGCCCACAAGCTCACCCTGTACCCAGGTCCCACCTCTGCCCATCTTCCCATCCCACTGTGACTGTGTCCACCCTGCAGTACCCCACTCTGTTTCTCCTGCAATGCTAGATACACCCCTGTTCCTAGTATCAACTTCTGCCAAGCAGCAATAAAATGTGGGGGGGTTGGAGGGGGCTCAACTGCCTGCTTTCACTGGCATTCAACCATCCGCAGAGCAAGCCTCAAAGAAAGGGAGATTCCCCACTCAACTTCAGTGTCCCTGGGGTGAAAACGTGAGAAAGGCAGCCCCCTCCGGCTGACAAGAGCAAACCAGAAAGGAAATACTGGTGACTCTCTCATTAAAGAATATGATAACTGTAAATACATATCATTCACTTATGTTACTACAACTGCCCAGTTTTAAATTTGGGTAATTTATTAACGTACAGTGTGGTATGAATTTAGAAACACTGATCTAAAATAATATTTTCCAAATTATATTCCACAGACATTAACCTGCAAGTTAATCTATGGAAGAAAAAAAAAAACAGGTTTGGTAGCCAAGGAGGTGTGAGCAATGCTGTTAACTGTATCCTCTCGGAAATTCACAGTGTGCAATAACCTATGAAAAGCTCTGAGAAGTTTTTTCCCCCCCAGCAAAGATCCACCTACTTAACTCTGTTTAACCCAGTGTTATTAAGTTGTGTATTCCTTCTCGAAACTTTGTAGCATCTGACACCTGTTAACCTCATAGGAATACCTATTAACCTGAGGGGCAAAACAATGTGGTGGTTAAGAGAAGGGACTTTGGAACAGTAACTGCCCGCCACCCCTATTAGCTGTATGACCTTGAACAAGTTACTCAGTTTCTGCAGCTGTGAAATGGAATGATAATAATAACAATGTAACTATATGCAGAGTATTTATAACAGCATTTGTAACAAAATAAAAGCACTAGATAAGCATTCCAGACGTCCAGCAGAACTAGTGTTCTAAGACACTTTGGGAAACATGAGTAGAGAATTAGAACTGCTGTAGAATTCTGGGGATCCTGTCTCTCCAGAAGATGACAGACTAGTTGGAGAGAGGGGTATATCATTATGGTGCCATGCTATGCCATCAACAAGGAGGAAGTAAGGACTGTGGAGCCCAGAGCAGGGAACAAATAATGTTTCTAATGGTGAGAGAGGTTTCAGGAAAGAATTCACAGCCAAATTGACAAAAATCCCAAAATGCGAGTGGGGTTTCAACAAGCAGAGAAGTGGAGAATGACAGCAGCTGAGACAGAGTAGGTGTACAGCCTGGCTGGGGAACGCTGAGTAGCTGGATTTGACTAGAGTGTAGTAGCTGGAAGATGGGAGGATTTACTGGAAGTTGTTACGGGCCCTGTATTTCCGAATTAGGGACTTGGGGATTTCAGTACACAGGAATTAAGGAGCACAAATGTTAGAAACAACAATCAGCCAGGGAAGGACCAGTGTGGGAACTAAGTAGAGGAGGGAAGGATGAGAGGCAAGGAGAGAAGTCTGGAGGGAATTCATGCAGTTCAGGTAAGCAGAAAAGACATGAACTATCAGATTAGAGAAGGGGAATCGGGGTTAGCAGTATTCCAAAGAGTAAAACACTGGCAATGACATTTAGAGAAAGTTAGATACTGCAAAACAAATCAAAAAAGGGACAAAGAATGAGGTAGGGGGGACAAGGAGAAGGCCGAGGTGGTAGCAAATGTCCTTGGGACGGACACTGGAGTAGACGCATATTCTGTAAAGGGGGTGAGTATTGACGTGGGTTCCTGTCGGGTTCTAGTCTCTCCCAGTCTGGTCTTGATCTCAGCAGGAGGGGCAGGATTAGATGCGGGAGGTGGAGGAAACGGGCAGGAAAAGAAACGTCTGAGCTCACCCTGCAAGAGTGCAAGAGCAACACTGACAATGAGATACAAGGAGATGGCATCTTACTTCTCCCCACTCAGAAAGGAGCTCAGCCTGGGGACTCTGGGCAAGCTGGGATGTCACCCTCTTGAGGCTGTGGCCCATTCAGGAGCCCCCTTTGCCCCAGTGGGCCTTCCTCGCTCTCCCCACTTGCTGACAGAAGCCTGGGATTTCTCTCCAGAGGATACAGTTTTAGCTGCTTCTCCCTCCTCCATACTGGCCAGGAGACTGCCGAGCTCCATGCACATCCATGAAATTCTATGTTTTGATATGGCTACTTGACACAGCAATATGTTGACATAGCTAAATTTATAAACCAGTATATTTTCAACATTTATTTTATTCCCAGCCATTATACTCAAACACCTTCACCCTGTGCCTCACACTCATCCTTTATCTCGTCCTTGGCCTCAGTGCATCCCCGAGCTTCACTCAGAGGTAAGGATGA